TGAACTACGAAACGCGTATCGTGATGATTGATCTCTTTCTCCTGGAGTACCGTCGACTCCGATGGGACTTAATTCTTACTTATGCCCTGTTTGAACAAAGCTGGGCATACAGGTTTTTCACCCGTGACCCAGCAAACACACGGCGGGGATATAGTAAGTATATTTTCAAGCTCAGAGCGCACACATTCATCAGACAAACTTTTTTCCCATTTCGAGTAGTAGCTCCGTGGAATGACCTTCCTCCGACGGTTGTCCACGCTCCTTCTAGAACCCTGTTTGAAGTACTATTAGACACTTACTCATGCGAATCCTCGCGCTGGCTAGCACGCTGTCACGCGCTGGAAACATAAAGAGCAGTGCTACACCTTTTTCTCACTTGTGCCCTTCAGGTGAACGATAGCCACTGACCGACAAGAACAAAACCGACCCGGGAAACTTGGGCAAAAGCCTCGATCCTGTGTTAATCCGTGAACAAATGTCCAAAAACACCTTGGGTTGACGTTGGAAGCCTCTAAGTCCACTCTAGGTAAGTCTTTCTTACCCACGCAAAACGTCGTTTGGAACGCTAGCGTCTCACATATGGGCGTGCTGCTTCCCATCTCGGCTAGGTTATCCTTTTATGCTGTTCTAGGTAAGTCTTTCTTACCCACGCAAAACGTCGTTTGGAACGCTAGCGTCTCACATATGGGCGTGCTGCTTCCCATCTCGGCTAGGTTATCCTTTACTTTATGCTGTGTCGCCCTGCACATCAACGACGGAATCATCGTCTGATTCCAGCTCTAACTCCGCTAGACGCACCTCATTAAACGCCCTCATAAGCTACAGTTCTTCTCCCATTTTCTCTACCTTAATATGTGCTAGCAACAACGCAGCCGACTTTAAATTTTTAAGCTTAGACGAGTCAGAGCCAGGAGATGAACCAATAACTAAAGGAATGCCGGAATGGTCAACTTGCTTCGATTCCCCCGGTGGATAGGGACGAATTGACGGGGCTTTTTCCGCCATTTCTCCGAGTCAGTAGCCTCTGTTGAGTACTGTTACAGCTATCTGCTTTTTGAACTTGAGTGACGCGTGCCAATCAACGAGAAGGACCGAGAATTCGAATTTTTCAACGGATTCTTCTCTGCGGTACCGTAGGGTCACAAAATAACGCGGTACAATCACTAGTCTGAGGATGAAGCGCAGATCGCTTCGCTACAAATTCGGTATCGTCAAAACGAAAGAGATATCGACGGCGAGCAACGGCAAACGCTACGAAAATAGTTCATTAAAACAAGAAGGCTTCAGTTTTAGGGATTAGCCGCCTGATGTGGTTGGAAACGGGAGCACCTTCTTGGTAAGCTGTATTCCACATCGCTCGATTCTGATATTCGAGCTCAACGTGTGTTTACTAGAACACCGATAAGCGGAGCCTACCAGACACATCACAGCAACAGGCTACCACCACGAACGGGTGCAAAACTAGTCAAGGCGGGCACGTTGATAATGGCTGGCCAGGAATAAATCAGTAACTGACCATATTCGGTCAGTCAGCCATCTTATAAATCTACACACTAGCCTGTATGTTGTACCAGCAATGCTGCCATTTTGGTCACTCGAGTGTAACCGATAGGCGCTTTCACGATGCGTATTGGGCTTTCCTTGTCGCCAGCGTAGATATCTCAGCTCATTATTCTACACCCGTCAAAGACAACTACCCTGCTATATTACCGCCTTAGTCGTCATTGAGTTTCGGGCCAAATTTGCGTTAATCCCCCCCCCCCGAACGAGAGCGACGGTACACCGTCAAGACGAGAATCGATTGGCCTCAGCATTACCAGCGGATTTCGGACCGAATTCCGGTAAACAGTCCAAATACCATCTGCTAAGGGTACCAAACAGCGAGAATCGTATTTCGGCAGCGTTTATTGGCCACCTATATACAGCCAGACGCCTCCCAAAGCTTCCTTCGTATGTCGATTGGTTTTCGTCACGGCAAAAAACATACACTCGGTCGAATGACACATTTGTGGCCACTCCCCACGGCATCCTGCTCGCCATCTGGCGTCATGTTTGGCTTAGCCGCGTGCATTATCGTCAGCTCAACTGATGACAGCTCCGGTGAGTCTCGCGCACCAACGGGGTTGGGAATGAAAATTCTGAAGGCTCGTCCAGATGAAAAGCATGGATAAATATACTGCACCGACCCGTCGAGCACACAAGCAACGGAATTGCACTGTTTGATTCTTACATCTTCAGCGTTCCTCCGCACAAATGTACGCGAAGCTTGCAGAACGGACCAACTTGCTGAAAGGCTGATAACCCGAGCATGTTGAAGTGGCTACAAGGACGGCGGCTTGGTGATGTAAGAACCTTCGGGGCCACATATTTTCGTTTAGGGGGTGCTTGATGAGATCCAACAGGGTCGCCAGCATCAACCTTCTGCCCCGGACCAGCTAGATTTACCTTAGAAGGCGTGATGAGATCCAACAGGGTCGCCAGCATCAACCTTCTGCCCCGGACCAGCTAGATTTACCCCTATTAGAAGGCGCGAAGCAGAATCATCCTAACCCAGTCTCCCTTGTAGCCATCCACTCACAAACATACATGAACACACAGTTCACCCCACTCGCTAGATCACGAGGTGTATTTATTCTTGCACGCACAAAATCGTGACGCACTTAACTACACAGCTCACAGTCAAGTTCTGAAGCAGGACTTTGCACTTTGAAGGTGCAAGGCGCTGCCAAATGATGGTATGATGGCGGTCAGTTTACTCAACAGGGCTTGTGCTTCGCTGTGGTCTTCAAAGATGAGGATGATGTCATCTGCGTGCCCCAGATCGACAAGGCTCCCCCTAGCAACAATTTGAACACCGGGGTATTGAATACCGCCCAGTGTTCGCCTCATTATTTCATCGATGACGAAGTTCATGAAGAATGGGGAGAGTGGACATCCTTGTCTGACACCACTTTTTGTAGGAAAGCTTTTGGAGAGCTCACCATACACTCTCATCCGCCCAGAAGTACGTGAATATAGGGATCGGATTGTGTTTGCACACTTCTGGGACATACCCTTTTGAGTAAGTGTAGTTAGCAGCACTGATCTACCGACAGAATCAAACACATCCTTGATGTCAAGGGTACCAGGACTGTGGTTCGTCCGTACATGTGGTGTTGCTCTAACACCTGACGGAGTGTGAACATTTGGTCAACGCAGCCTCTACCCGATCGAAATCCCGCTTGATTCTCACGAGTCAAGACTTCGCGTGCCGCCATGAGAAGACGAAAGATCAGTGACGCTAGAAGCCTTGTCACAACAGGCGTCAAGCTAACGCCTCTGTGGTTGCTACATTCACTGCGAGTACCCTTTATGAAAATGGGTGCCACTATCGATTCACCCCAGTTGTCTGGGGCTGTCTCCTTTTCCCAGGTAAACCCAAATAGGCTAGACAGGCACTGGCTGAGGAATCCACCGCCATCCTTGAAAAGAGCAGGTGGAAGGTCGTCAGGATCAGCAGCACGATGACGCTTGAGCAGAGAAATGCATTCGGACACTTCTGAGATTGAAGGCGGCTCCATATTTACGGTCCACCTTTCTGTTGAAGGCCGGGTTTCTGGATTGGGGGTAGCAGGTGGCCAGCTGAATTGCTGTTCGAAGTACTGTGCCCAGCGATCCAAACGTTCTGCTTTGCTGCATATCAGGGAGCCATTTTGGTCCCTGATTGTTTCACTGACAAGAGGTTTCCGAGGACCAGTCGAACGAATCAAGTGAGTGTCGCGGGACACCCAGAAGATATCGACTTATGCTGCTACAGGGAATTCTTTCCACTACGCTACCTAATAGGCTCGTTGGACCTACTGGGCAGTGGCTTCGTTTCCCTGTAAGGATCACCACTCTTGATGATAAGGACAACGGCGGCCCTCTTTCAATCCTTGGGCAAAGTGCCTTCTTCCAAAGATTATTTGGACGGCTGAGTTAGGGGCTGCACGACAACATCTAGCAGTATCTTCAACAATCGCGGGTGCAACCTATTCGGCTCAGCCGATTCGTTCCCATCGACACCATAACATCGGTATTCAACACCGAAGTTTTGCTGCCGTACAACCATGGTTTAGCCCATTCATAGAGGGAAAGAGTATTCAGTTCAGTCCTCACTTTATTGGCCGTTATATCAAGAACCTGCATACTTAATCCTGATACAATCGATCAGCTGTAGCATCTTTTCGGTGCCCAACTGCCACACCACCAGAAGGAAGCACGGAGGCTGGAATATTGCCAGGTTTCCAAAACCTAGACAGGGTTGGATTCGAACCAAGGACCTTCCGGTCAGTAAAGTAACTCCCTAAACCAGTGAGCACTCTCGCCCCCAGGTACAATACTACATGTTGGGGGCTTCAGGAGTGTTTTAAGGGATGGCTGAACCGAAGTACTCTAACAGTTTCTGTGCCGCTTCATTGGCCACAGTAGCTTCATTTATCCTCTTCGAGTATCCGCGTAGCCTAGCCCGAAA